GATTGTTTATTATCTTTCTTTTAATAAGATACCAAATTTATTCAAATATAAGTAAAAAGATTACATTAAAAAGCCCACCAATTACGTTTGGTCAATTTGAGTAAATCCCAAATAAACCAAAGGATAAGGCCGGCCTAACACGAGTGAAATAAGACAGCAAAACAAGCTAGCAACAAAAACAACAGAAAAAACTAAAAAAATAAAATAAATGATAACTGTTATGAATATTATAACATGTGGATGTCCATCTCATCTTCTTCCTCTTCCTCTTCCTCTCATATTAAGAAAACTTTGTCGAATAACAGTCAACTAATTATGTAGTATAAGTCTCCTAAATCCATTTGCTTCTTTTAGGAACATTATTTTGTTCCATTTAAAAACAAACAAGAAGAAGGAGGTTCTTACCCAACATATATCTCAACTTTCTTTAAATATCCATCTATGTGCATTGTGGTGGATTAGTAAGAATAAATATTGCACATTTCAATATTTAGATGGAAAATATCTTGCTCCTGACCAAAAGCCAATTTTATTAGGAGAATTTTGTTTCCTTGATGTCTATAAGTGCTGCAATATATCAAATATGCCAACGCTAAAATGGAAAAATTTGTTCTCATAAATATTGATCAAGCTATTCACGGAGGCATTAACAAATGATTTTGCTAGATCAATTTGTTAAGCAGGCTTTTCAACATTAAAAGCCTGATATATAAATTCACTAGCATCTTTGAAATCAAGTTTTGGGAATCATATAGTCTGAAAATATTTATCTAAATAATCTTGCAAACTTCAGGTTGCAAATTAATATCAATCACACATCTTACCATTTTATATAGATGCATCTATCAAATATTGAATACTTGTATGGCTTATGTGCTTCTAAATGGGCCCATATATATTTCCAGAGAATATAGTGATTCATTCGAAAACAAAACATAACTAGTAATATTTTATAATCAATTTTCTTTAAGAAACAAGCAGCACATACGGATTCTTAAAAATGTTGGCTATTCGGAAGAATCTTCTGGTTCTTCAATGGATATCAATACATAATCTTCAATAATTATATAGTTTAAGATGATCAAACAAGTCATGCCAACAAAATCTAATTATATTAGTAAACTTCTGGTTTACTGTATCATATTTCGTTACCAATAATAAACTTTTCAATATAATATATGATGATTGATGATATCCATTTATGAAATTGATATGAAAAATATATCCAATATCAACTCATATTTGTATTTTAACAATTTTTCCCCTCAAGATTGAGTCATTCAAATATGATTCATTTATTCATATATTTCATAAATAGTTGCTAGCATAAAATAGGTTAAAGCCAATAACCTATCTTTTGCTTGGAAGCCTAAGTACTTCCTAATTCATATATAGTTATGGACTTTGATCCAATTATACTATAACATTTACACTCTTTGGAGAACCAAAGCTGTGATATAGATCTATAGGTCATATTTTTCACTATCAATACTTTGTCTACTCATAAAGAAAAAGCAGTATTAGTTCTTCTGGAACTATATTAATACTATTACATCTAGTTCTTCAGGAACTATATAATTTAAGAGGAATATGAAAGACAACTCTATTTCAATATATTATTAACATAATAACAAATAATTATGAGTATCATAGATTTAACTTACAAGACGCATAGAAAACATACAAAAATGATGAAGAACATTTAAAATGAACTTTTAAAAGTAAAGTACTTAATGTTCAAAACTTTTCAATATTAATCAAGGTACTATAGACATTTAAAATGTTCAAAACTAATATTAAATCAGATCACATAAATAAGATATAAATAAACAAAATATAACTAGTAACTCTTGAGTCTATTTGATCTATTTAGTTTTATATCACACACTTATCAATATTACAATATCAAATTCTTATAACATTTGTTTCTCACAAATCACAATAAATTTAAAGACCAATAAAAATTAAACATTATACACATAGCCTTCTAGGCATATACTTATATGTTTTCTATTTTTATATATACTTTAGATATCTATCTTTCTTCACAACTTACTGCCTTCAGGCATTAAAATTAACTTCGATATTTTCATAATATCACATGGTCTTTTTGATTCCACAACCATTTTTCTTTAACATTTGCTTTTCAATGAACTAATACATATTTGTCTATATGACTTCTAGTCATATTATAACAGTTGTTCATAATTTTATCATATTGATCATAGGGCCATTACTAATTCTGCTATTATGATTCAATAGTCAAGTCCCAAGATTATTGCCCTTTTAGTTATCAGTTCCACTGATACAATGTTATCATATTCTTTATCACTCTTATGGATATATTCCTTGCTTTCAATAGCATATCATCATTTTTCTCAAATATTAGTCTTCTGGACTATAACAAAATTTTTAGAACTATGAAGTTCTTTTGTATCGTGAGTTTTTAACCATCAATCATCAGGACTTTGATGTACATTATCAAATTGTGACAGTCTTGTCATGCCATCTGTTACTACCATAAGATAATCTTTTATTAAATAATCATCAAAATGTGATGTGACTTCTGGCTATCTAATCACAAAATCAAGAATATAATAGCTATTAGCCATTCATTTATATGTTTAACATTCTACGTTCCAAGACAACAATTAACCAATATCAGAGATGATAATCATATATAGTAATTTTATAGATAAACATAAACCTCATAGCAAATCAAGGAGTATTAAGGATAGTAGGATCATAAAAATATAAGAAAAGAAATAAAAAAAATAAAAATTTTCATATCTCAATATGATGAATAAAATATTCGATTGCCAATGAATCAATATGGTTAATATGCAAAACCATCATTTGCTTTAAATAAATTGGAGAAATCTTACCAAACTTTCGGATCAAACTATCTTCATTCAACGAACAAAACATCAACGTGCATCAACTAGTACATGAACTCTGATGGTAGAGTCTCGTGCTAATAACGTGTTATGAAATTAACCAACAATAAAGTAGATGGAGAAGAGAAGTAGACAAAAAAAAAAGAGAGAATGATATTGTATTCCTTTACTTGCTTCACTTGTTTCACAATACAATGGCATGCCTTATTTATAGGCATAGTCTTACACATAAGTTACATTGGCACTTAAATGATAGATAGTGGATAATAAACCACATGAATATGAGTGGGGGGAGTTACAAGATTAAAGGCATAGTGAAAAGGTAATGGAGTAGTGGAAGATTAATGCCTAGTGGAAGTAGTGGGAGTTGATGATGAAGTTGAGAGGAAGAGGAAGAGGAAGAAGAGGAGATGGACATCCACATGTTATAATATTCATAACAATAACAGAAAAGAAACAAGGGAAAATTAGGGATAAATTCCTCATTAAAAATTTAATTGGCAAATGGGATTGATTGCATAAGGAAAGATTAGTTACACACAATGGATGATAAGTTACATAAAGGGAAGATAGTTTGCACAAAAGATTATTTGGATATAAGGAATTAGTTTGCACATAGGGAAGATGACTTGCACATAAGAGAATTTCATTTGCACAAAGAAAAATTGAGTTGCACATCGCACAAAAGAAGATCATTGCACTCAAAGAAAGATACATTGCACACAAGAAAAAATAAGTTGCATAAAAAGAAGTTAAGTTGCATAAAATCCTTATGTCCTATTTGCCAATTAAATTTTCAATGGGAAATTTACCCCAATTTTCCCAAGAAACAAGCAACACTATGAAAATTAAAGACTTATTGTAGTCCTCAATTCTTGCCAGTAGATCTGAGACAGCTCAAAGCTTAAGTCTCTTGAAACACCAACCATTTCTCTTCCACGCATGACGCTCAGCAACATGCACATATTACGTCGAAGCTGCATCATACGAAGAATCTCGCACACTTGTTTCTAAGTGATAATGCCATTACAAGGCATCGAGTTAACCCAATGTCTCATGATGTCTGCAACCCTTAGAATGTTGAAAGGAGTCCTGATGTAAAACACCAGAGAAATACAACTGTGGTAAAGATGAACGTGAAACCTGAGTAGAATTGATGATAGATTCTGACAAGAAGCGCTACTCCAGTCTTTAAACCAAGCAACTTATCAAAGGATTATTTATTGTCAAATTCTTACTTCAAAGTAAAAAAAAAATATATATATTTTTTAGTTTATTAAAAAGTAAAATAAATTATTCACCAAAAAAAAAGAGTAAAATAAATTAATCACACTTTTATTTCAAAGTTAATGTGACATGAATCTTCTTTCTTTTTCCCACATCTATACAAATATATTTCTAATCTTTAATTGATCATTAAACCACATATTTTCATACATTTTTTTGAGAAAATCGTTAAAAAAAACCCTGAAAATTGAAAAATTGCATATAAAAACCCGTTTACAAAAATTATTATCAAAACCCATACTAACGTTATAACTTGTTCCTATTTGTAATTTTTCTATTTTCGAGGTCTTTTTTATGATTTTTCCTATTCATTTTTTTGAAAAATTTTATAATATTTAAAGTTTTAAACACAGTCACGTAAAGAGTTGTTTGTTGAGTAATTTTTTAAAGTTATGTTGGCTAAGAAAATCTTTCAAACCCATTTATAAGAAGAGGTTTAATGAATTAGGAAATTAATATTAGGTGAGCTAATTTTATTAATGTAATTTACGTTAATTTTTCCTTTAAATAGAATCACTTTTTAATAAAATATTTCTTTAAAAAACATATATTTAGATATTATCATACTTAATTGTTCAGAATACTTCACTCTTAATTGGAAAACCAATTAAAATGGTGCTCCATAACCCCCCTTCAATTCCTCTTTTTGAAGCAGCATAATGCATTTTCCAAACAAACTTGGCATTAATCATAAGAAATTAAGCCACCAAGCATGTTGAAACCTTTAAATTTGACAATCACAGCTAGTTGAGAGGGACAGTGAAAAACAATAGCAGCCATTCCAAAAGGATCACACGAAAAGAAATAACACTATAATTATTTTCCCCGATATCCAAACCCCATATATATTTCCTGACCAAAATAAGCACAAACATATTCCCATGATTATTTTTATTCATTGGCTTTACTGGAACCCAGCAACACACACATTAACTGTCATCATCTTAACTTAGCAATATGCAAGAAAACACAGAACAACATCTCATCAAGTTGCAACCTTCACAAGAACCAATTGAAGGATTCTGCATTTTTTCCACTGTTTGAACCAACCAGTGGGTCAATGACCTTCCTCCAACCCTTATAGTCAAGAGCAGATCCTGTACCAGGCAACAAGAATCCATTCACATAGAAAAATGGCGTTTCAGACACCCCCCTTGAAGCAGCATACTGCATTTTCACACCAAACTCATTGCTAGTTAGCAAAAGCTTACAGTCGATTAATATTATATTACTCTGCATATAAAAATCTTAAACTCAAAGATATTCGAGAAAGTTGATTTCTCTAAATGCAACCTGAAGGATAAATTTATTTCATCTCACCTTAAACGACACCCTGGTGTGAAGATCAGTTTTCCGGTCATTGAAGCCACTCTTGATTGAACTATAATAAGATCTCCCAATTACTTCTGTCACAGACTTCACCATCTCCTTCTCAATGGAAGCCCTTGAAAGATTCTTGGTTTGAGCATTATAGAATTTCCCCTGTAGTTACATGGTATGCGACATATCTAGTTAGCAATAAACTGGAATAATTTTCTGTATAGATAAGTTCTACTCTAGATACAAAAATTCACTTTATATCTTAAGGGCACTGGGGAGGATGTAATTCATTCTATCATCAACATAAACAATTATTCCAAATAAAAGCAATAATCTTCTTATAGCTCTTCTTTGAAGTTGTATTATATATCAAAGAGGAATAGGTTATATTATCAAATGCTGCTGCAAGAAAGTGGAGGGAAATCATTACAACCGTGACAGCAACTTCTTCCATTCAAGCATGAAACATAAACGTAGTTTCAAGACAGATTTCTGATTAGCATATAAATTTTCCTATTTTCAAATCAGAGCAAGAAATAAATCAAAATCTCAATACCCATATCAGGGAGTAAGAACAGAGAATGTCATTTTCTATTGTTGTGGAACAACCCAAAAAGAAAGGAAAGAAATAAAAGAGAAACCACAAAGTACTTAAGCAGACGGATATACTGACCTGATGCTTGAAGAACCACTCCAGCATCGGGAATGTTGCAGATTTATTCAATGCATTTACAATGTGCAAAGCACGAGATGCAACAAAAGCATTGTCATGGTAACTGCAATTATGAGAATAAAGGTATATTATTCCAGGGGCAACATAAGTTATCACATATTATCAGAATGACAAGTGAATTAATTACAGTGTTAATAACCGTGATCAAGCATACTCTTGAGCTGATCCAAGCTAATGACAGGACAACAAATGCAGAAACAAGACTACAGCACCACTGTTCGGCCATTGCATTGACTTGTACTAAGGCTTTGGTTAAATAATTTGATCAAAGGAGACAAAAACCCACAAGTTTCTTTCCCAATCAGTTCAGAAGAACAAATAGAAACAGGAGGGATAAAGACCATGGCAGATCCTCCAACTGCAGTTTTAAATAAACTAATCTTGAGATTCTAGTGAATCCACCACAACCATGCTCAAATTCTCCGCCTGCAGTGTGAATCACTGTTGAGGAAAAAAGATAAATAGGGATGGGGAAAGACTGTATACATCTTTTGAATTTAAGGCTACCACTTTTCCCAAGTCATCACTTCTGCTTCACAATACTACCTCTATACTCACAAAGTATTCTTGCAACGTTTGGGGAAGAAAAAAGTTGCAACTTTAAGAATAATCAATATATATTCAATCCTTCAGAGTGATTATAAGTTTTAAAGTCAATTATCGAGTTTCAGAAGTCCTGTATGCCATTTTTCTAACTGTTCATAAAGAAATTAGCGCAGTGCAAGAGACTAGAACAAAAGTGAGAGGTGATTACTTACGGTAGAGGAAGCAGATGAACGACGAGAGAAACGCGAGAGCCATAGTGAGTGATAACTTGTTTGAGCGCTGGCCATGAGTCCCTGCTGTCAGGGCATACTGGGTCGAAAAACGCTTCGATCAAAACGGAATCGGGGTGATGCTGATTCCTATAAACGAAGCCATCCAATCTCGCCGGCGGGATGTAATCGGCACCAACCTTCACCTCCAGAACCAAACACAGCATGCAAATCAATAACACAACCGATTGCCTCATAGCCTGCTTGTTACCCCGCATCCTGTGATCTAAGTCTACGACGACAACTTCAAATCTCTCAGTCAAATAAGGGATTGTGAATTCAGTAACTTCTTTTGCTTTTGTGGCGTGAATCTATCGGGCTATCTGCACAAAGCTATCTTTCTTTCGACTTTTAAACACGTTTGGAGGACATGCGCTCAGCTTTCTTCCACATCACACGTCTTGGTCCATTGAAAAAGACGTTTGCTGTCATTACATATATAACGACGACGAAAAGGTGAAGATGGAATCTTTCGTATTTTTTTTTTTTTGAATTAGTAGCGGCAAGCGAAGCTTGATACAAACAAAAGACTAGGGGAGATTAGCCCATATCATGTGCATATTTGACAGCACAAACGGAAATAACAGAATCATAAAATGTGGGTGTCGTGTCCGCATCATGAGCATTTTTTGCCAGGAGGTCAGCACATGTCAGTGCTTCTCTGTGTGAGTGATGAAGCTCAAAGGTCCAGATCTCAGCTATAGTTAGGCGAATTTCCTGGATAATGTTCCAAAGAGGGTGTCCTTGATTACCATCTCTAAAAATCAGATTAATGGCTTCCAGAGAGTCGGAGAACATGGAGACTTGCTTAAACTCCTTCATCTTACAGGTTCGTAGTCCAGTGAGATGGAATCTTTCGTATTTAAACTAAAAGAACTTGTTAGCTATTCCGACTTCTGAGCGACGACTCCACAAGTACATGAAAATAATCGGGAATAATATAATTTTTGCCCCTTAAAATTTAAACATATTTTAATTTTGGTTTTTTAAATTTTAAATTTATAATTTTTGTTTAAAATTTAATCCATCTTCAAACATTAGTTCTGGAAAGTACAGCAGCGTTGAAGTAATAATATGGATTCGCTAAATGACACATAAGTGGATCCTGTGTACCCAATAGAAAGGGCCAAAAACAAATACTCAAAACGCAACTTTTTAACCCCCGGTTTTTTTTTTTTCCTTATTGTTTGTTTTAGGAGCTGTTCATTATGCTATACTCTGTTATTCATATAAGATTTAATTAGGTATGATCTGGTGATTTCACATCACTACTTTTAATATTATTGATAATGTTTTAGTAGATTTTAATACCGTTATACTTTTAAGATTTAATATTTTGTGACAAACCAAATTCTATGAACTAAAATCATAAGTTAAAATTTGAGGAACTAAAATAAAAATTTATTCAAATTTTAAGGACTAAAAATTATACTAACCCAAATAACTAAATATGGTAATTTGAAAGTACCTGCACTTATTAAAAAACAATGAATAAAGGAAAGTGAAGGAGGTTCCTATTGCTGCTGACATGTATCCATGATGGATGATGTTTCATGAATTATCATCTACCTTGCCTTACCTCCTACTAAATCTAGTTTTTAATATAAGATTAATTTGAATAGATTAAAAATATTAGTTAAATTAGTTAATATGATATGTTTTTTAAAAATAGCCTGAGCATCTTTCTTAATTTCTTTTCTATCATCTTCTACTTGATTATTATTAAGAAAATATCAATAAGGTTAATTTGAAGAAAAAAATTGATAAACATATAAAATAGATATTACATATAGGACTAACATTAACTTTCTAATTAGGTCTTACATTAAGAATCGAAAGAGTATTATTTTTCTTAAAATTATGTTTTACCCATGAAAAAATTTTCTAACTCACAGTCTACTCATTTTCAGTGATGCATAATGTGTATTGAACTTCAGTGTTTTTCATTCAGGAGATTCCTTTTTTGAATTTGAAGAAGCGAGGCAACACATAATCCTTTATATTTAATATAAACTATTTGTATTTAAACATTTCCTTATCATTTTAATCTAAATAAATAATTTTAGAGCCGAAGGGATATCACAAACATCCATTAAGAGAACAAGTCTCAGGTGAAGAAAAATTTTAAAGAGACGAAAATGCATAATCAAAATCATTTTTACAATTATGATCTCAGAAAATATAATAAACTTTTTAAAAACAAATCTTAAAATTTAAATCAAATTCAATTGCTTAAGCTAAACACCACACACACACACACACACACACACACATTGCATGAAGTCTAAATTTAGTTGCATCTTTCATTGGCTTACGAATAGCCTAAGGGGAATTGCGGTGATTTCGTTATTTCTCACTTTAAGGTCAGTGAGAATTAAATGCTGCTCAACTCAGATGAAGCTTGCATATCAAAATTACTGGCAAAATCAGTTCTCCATCACATCACACGTATCTGTTCATACGTTAGTAATGTGCCTGAGAACACCTAATTCAGGTTACCATAAGAACTAAACTGAGGAAAAATTTGAAAGTGAAACACTAGATTCAGAAATGAGGGAAAATATCAAATTGAGAAAGCTTGCATCTTTTGGAAACCAAACCAATAATATACTCGATTTCTTTTACATTACACCCATTTACAGACAAGACAATGAATTGCTTCATCATGCTATCTTCAGACATGAGCTTCATAAGAGCTGGATTTCATAAAAAGAGCAACATCCCAATCCTCAGTGGCAGAAGAAGTGAAGAAAGTGTCATAAGAGCAACACGATAGATCTCATACTTGGACGCAGCTGGGGATTGTCCTGCGTGCATGCTTTGGCAAGTTGGGCCATCTGCAAGCCAAGAATTATAATTATTTCACCATAATCTTTTCCTTTCCAATGATTTCTGACGTTTCATAATCTCGGACAAAATGAGTTCAAATCAAATGATGAGGGACTAAAATCTGTTTAATCACCAGATTCCAGGGACAATTTTTTAAAACACTGCCAGCATCAGACAAACAGATATTCAAAGGAATCCTCGGATTCTGGTATAAAATTTGTGCCTAACTTCAGAGAAACTCCAGACCTACCCAACCTCAAGATCCCGATTCAATGTTCTCAGTGTTTATTTACTCTT